TGCTGAAGACGGATTGCCTGGAGGTAGTCAACCTCTGGAAAACTCGTCACGATTCTCGGTCGGTCGTGGCTCCTATCTTAATAGAAATGGGAGAGCTTGCTGGTAGTTTAAATTCTTTTGCTATTCATCATGTTGTAAGATCAGCCAACGGTCCCGCTCATATCTGTGCCGAGCAAGCTCGCACGATTGACGTAACCGAAAGTTGGATTGACAATGTCCCTAGCTTCTTGACCAGTAGCCTGTTGGCGGATTGCTCGGCGGACGCTTTTATTCAATAAAGCTCTGAGTATTTTCCCCGCAAAAAAGAAGAAGACCGAAATCATCGTTTATCCTATACTTAACAAAAATGGTGTCATATGTCCAGGGTGCAATTAGCACTCGGGCATGACGCCAGAGGAGACCGTGTTACCATCATGATGTTGAGTGCAAGGAAACATATGTATGCGCTCGTGGTCCAATTTGAAACTCAGGAGAAAGAACAGTTGGTTCCGACTCCTCACATCTATACACACGCGTGGTTTGGAGGGGATGGGTGGTAGGTGAGGATAGCGTGGGGAGGAAAAAGAGAGGGTGACGAGGAGAGAATTGAGATGAGGAAATGGAATACGTTTCATTTCAACAGCCTCCTGCTCTGTCGCGGCTCTAGAGACGCCCACACGATTAAGCAGAGACGCCCACACGCACAGCACACACCAGCCCGCTGGCACCAGTCGCGGCCTTCATCGGCGGCGGCCAGGACGCGCGCGCCCATCTCGCCCTCAGCGCCTCCTTCCTGCACACACGTCCTCTTCGTCGGAGAACAGCGGCGGCCCAGGGCCAGGGGTGCGAGGGAGAGGCGGCGGCGCAGCATCGTCAGCTGAGGTAGAGGTACCGATGAACCTCTTCTTTGTTTTACTTCCACTGCAGTGCACTAGACAAAATCGGTTTTGGGGATTTCTTCCTCGACTGGGAATACATAATGTTTGCAAAATTAGGATTAGGGTTTGCAGGGATGTTTCTCTCAATTGCCGTGCTGAATCACTTCCTCCTGATTGCTAATGTACCGGAACACTGCTAAAACATCGACACTTCATTACCTATAAGACATCACCGTGAGCAAGTAAACATTATTATCACAATAATCTAGGAGTAATTAATTTCTTAAACATGCTTATCTGTACTGTTCCGTAGCAAATACTACAAGTAAAACTTAACCTGATCATTAACATGCTAATTACGCAGCCTAAGACTTAACATGATCTCACAATCGAAATTAATTACGACTCTAGCATGATCAGATCACCTCTGATTCCGTTGTTGGATATGAATTGACTTTAGATTAACGTTAAGTTTCCGTTAGGATCAATTAACCCCTCTTTTCCTTGTCCTAACAGCCTTATCCATCTCCTCTGTTTGTCCAGGTCGAACCTGAACCTGGGATCAACTAACACGCCCACAGTCTGCAAAAAAAAAAGGGGGGGAATTTCGATCCATTGATGCGTGTGTGTCTTCGGTGATTTTGTAGACCGACCGATCGATCAATCGATTGCACTCGTGCGGAGGAAGAGATGGCCGATCCGCTCAGCACCATAATGGAGTTCGTGGGGTATGGGTTCAAGATCATGAGCTTGCTGGACAACGCCAAACACAACGCGGAGGACTGCCGCACGATCAACGCCTTCCTGCTCAACCTCAGCGCCATCGCCAATCGCCTGCAGGGGCTGCCCAAGATCATGGTGGACGACTTGATGAGGGACACGGCGGATGGCCTACACAAGGCCCTCAAGCGCGCGTCCGAGTTTGTCGCCAAGTGCGAGCGCAAGGGGGTCCTGCGCCGTGCTTTTAACGCCAAAGACATCGCCGAGAAGCTGCGCGGGGTCTGCCTCGATGTGCTGCTCAACATGAACGCCGTGCAGCTCAACATGAACGCCATGCATCTTGCCAACGATGACTTGAACAGCTCGAAGTTGGCCGAGCTTAAGGAAATTGTGGCCAAGATTCTGCATATTGTTGCTACACAGCCCACTGTTCATCTGCAAGAAGAGGTATCGTTGCCTTACCTTGCCACACCACAACATCTTTATGTATGTATGTATGTCACACTAGGCCTAGCTAGTGCCTCACTGATTATGCAGGATGATACCAAAATCTTTGTTTTGTTGTTAAATACGTACAAAGCAGAGCTCTATATAACATACCACATTGTTTTATGTAAGCTTATCAGTTGTAATACTGTATATGAATTTGTTTAGTTTTCTTTTCCTATTTCAGGTGCAAAACTTGGTGAAGGACGACCAGATCAGTTCTCAAATTAAAAACAAAGGGGCGGCAAGGAGAACAGTTGTAGCTAGTTCTCAAAACAAAAACAACTCCCCTCCGCCGCCCCTCCCCTCGCGTCGCCTCGCCTGAGGCGACCCGGGGGCGAAACCCTAATCCCCTCCGCGCCTCCCCCTCCCTATCCCCTCCCTCTGCCGCCGCCTGAGGTGCTCGCCGGCCCGGCCGCACGACACCAATGAAGGTGGCGGCGGGGATCTGGTGGCTTCGCCTTCGCGGAGGGCCACGGCGTCCGGGGCGGCGGCTCCGATGGGCGGTGTCCGGCGTGGCCGGTGCGGCGGGCTGCGCCGGTAGGTGCTGGCGGGCTGCCTCCCTGGCCGTGCGGTCGGCGGGGGGGTGGCGGGCGATGGAGAGGCGGCGCCCCCGCGTGGGTCGTCCTGCGCTCCTGGAGAAGCTCCGTTCCTGCCCGTGATCTGCTCCGATCTGCGCCCTGCTCCAGCCCCTGGTGGCTTCGTCGCCGTCTTGGGGGATCTGGACGGACGGATCTGGTGGTTGGGCGTGATTCCGGGGGAAACCCCTGGCCGGCGCGGCGGCCTCACCAAAGGCGACGTCTTCGGCGCCGTGGTCCTTCCTGGAGGCTTTGGTGTGGTTCTCCCCTCCCACTTCTCCCTCGAGCACAGGTGAAGACCTGCCCTCCCCTTGCATGGTCGATGGCGGCATCCGGTGCCGTGATCCTTCTTGAAGGCGTCTTCCGGGGATTGCTCGTGTGGGGTGGAGCTGCTGGTGGCGTGGTGACGGTGTGAGGTAGCCTGTTCTTATCAGTGGCGGCTGCCGTGGTCTCGGTCCAATCCCTGACCACTGCTTTGGCTATGCCCCTTTTGGCCTTCTCCATGGATCTTCGCCTTCGTCCGATGACTTGCGGTTGTGAGCCGTTTCGCTTAGCACTAATGTACTTGCCGTGGTGGAGCGGTACTTCATCTCACTCATTGATGGCGGCGAGGATCGGCGGCATGGCGCTGTGGAGGTTCGCCGCCCGATGCGCGGAGATGGACTCGCGCAGGAGGAGGTTGCTGTCTGGCGTCATGGTGACGCCGATGGCTGAGTGGCCAGATAAGGTAGAAACCTCGATATGATCTGAAGATGGACCTGCGGAAGATGGTGGCGACGACACACGAGTGCGTCTGACCGGATTGTGCCCCAGACCCAGTATGTGGCTCGGCTGGGGATTCCGAATATGTTTCGGTTTCCGGCTTTTGATGTTAGGCTTAGGTGAGTGGTTCGGGTAGTGGCCTAGCTAGCACCCCTTCATCATTTTGGGTAGGAGTAGTGGCATGTGTTGCCAAGATGGTGGATTCAGACTTATTGTTGTAATACTTTGTAAGGTCCTCGAGAATAATCAATAATATGGCCGTATGCATCTCCCGGATGCAGAGGCCGGGGGTCATCCCTCTTTTCTAAAAAAAAAAGGGAGGCAGAGAAAACAGGTGTTGCCAGGTAAGGTACCTGCAGAAGTATGCTCAATTAGCCTGCCACAGAGCTATCCAAATGTATATGTCCCTTTTATCTATCTTGGTGGATTAGTATGCTCGGTTACTTGGCGTGCACTGTGCATTATCCAAACATGCCTCTTTTGTCTATTTTATGAATTTTGTTGGTTATAAATGTCGATGAGTTAACCTCCTACCTTTACTTGTTGGTAAAGCATTTGATTTTGCTGCACGAAACTTGCAGGCCGGATGTTAAGATTCAGAATAACAAGAAACTAGGGCGTAGAAGGGTGGTCCCACATGCTTCCTTACCAGATGGTAACGTTGCATTTTCCATGTTACTCTGCATCATGCTGTTAAATAAGAATGGATGAAATCAAACTTAAAAAGTGTCTTTACAGTACCACTAGTACAGACATTACAGGTGTAATCTAAACTGTCACATGTATTTATTGTTCTTCTGGCAGGATTAGCTGAGTCCACTTCAGCGGCCAGTGTGGTTGGACAAGGCTCTAGTACTGTTATTATCAATAAGGTATTTCATATGCTTAAGTTTCATTTAAATCATTGTTATAGTTGGGCAACCCGATTTCATATAAAAGGATGCCTCGAGCTATAATAACTGATCTATACCAGTAATTAAGCTGAACTTCTATAACAGTAATTTCTTGTCAGGCAGAAAAGTTTTTTGTTTTTATGAGATGTTACATTGTGTCTTGATGATCTTCATTCTTTCCCCTTTTTTTTCTTTGATGAGAACTGGTGATCTTCATTTGTTATGTAGGCAAGTAGCTCTATCTCCAAGTCGGTGGACGAGGCACAGTCAGTGGGAGTTTCTGCAGCACCATTCCATCCGCAGAAAATAATCAGCATATCCAAGGAACCCGAAGAGACAGGCGGATATAAGGTACCTTTTGTTGCATCCAAACATGCATTCGAGAGAAATTGCAGTATACTGAAGTCGATAGTGAAATCTAAGTTGTTTGAAATAGCTGGACGCGACGCCAATTGTTATACATGGCACGTCAAGGTACCATTTGTGAGTTGATTATTTGTGGCTGTTGCTTGCAGATATACACCTGTTCCTCTGAGACTAGCAAGCTTCTTGAGGTCTACCCGCAGCGGCTTCTCTTCCCCTTGGAGCCAAAAAACAAGGAAACTACTGGATCTGGATGCCCAGTGACCCTAACCAACAGTACAAACGATTACGTTGGCATCTGGATTAAACCAATAAATGGGAAATTTAAGGAAACAGAGATAATGGAGCCCCATTCGACTTTGGTTGTGTATGCGACAATGAAGATGCATGCACAACCTCCCAAAGACAAGGTCGAGTTTGAGGTGCTCATGATTATCCTACGGTCGAAGCAAGACCACGGAAAATTCAAGTCATTCATTGTTGACAAGCTGAATATGGACAGTGGCTTTATGTTGCATGTTAAGAACCTTAAGGCAGAGGTGTATCGGGCAAGGCAGAGGTGTACTCGTAGTAAAAGACAGCTTGTTTTTCTCAAAAAAAAAGAGTAAAAGACAGCTTGTAAGCGTGCGTGGTTAGGAGGGGATGGGTGGTAGGTGAGGATAGCGTGGGGAGGAAAAAGAGAGGGTGACGAGTAGAGAATTGAGATGAGGAAATGGAATACGTTTCATTTCAACAGCCTCCTGCTCTGTCGCGGCTCTAGAGACGCCCACACGATTAAGCAGAGACGCCCACACGCACAGCACACACCAGCCCGCTGGCACCAGTCACGGCCTTCATCGGCGGCGGCCAGGACGCGCGCGCCCATCTCGCCCTCAGCGCCTCCTTCCTGCACACACGTCCTCTTCGTCGGAGAACAGCGGCGGCCCAGGGCCAGGGGTGCGAGGGAGAGGCGGCGGCGCAGCATCGTCAGCTGAGGTAGAGGTACCGATGAACCTCTTCTTTGTTTTACTTCCACTGCAGTGCACTAGACAAAATCGGTTTTGGGGATTTCTTCCTCGACTGGGAATACATAATGTTTGCAAAATTAGGATTAGGGTTTGCAGGGATGTTTCTCTCAATTGCCGTGCTGAATCACTTCCTCCTGATTGCTAATGTACCGGAACACTGCTAAAACATCGACACTTCATTACCTATAAGACATCACCGTGAGCAAGTAAACATTATTATCACAATAATCTAGGAGTAATTAATTTCTTAAACATGCTTATCTGTACTGTTCCGTAGCAAATACTACAAGTAAAACTTAACCTGATCATTAACATGCTAATTACGCAGCCTAAGACTTAACATGATCTCACAATCGAAATTAATTACGACTCTAGCATGATCAGATCACCTCTGATTCCGTTGTTGGATATGAATTGACTTTAGATTAACGTTAAGTTTCCGTTAGGATCAATTAACCCCTCTTTTCCTTGTCCTAACAGCCTTATCCATCTCCTCTGTTTGTCCAGGTCGAACCTGAACCTGGGATCAACTAACACGCCCACAGTCTGCAAAAAAAAAAGGGGGGGAATTTCGATCCATTGATGCGTGTGTGTCTTCGGTGATTTTGTAGACCGACCGATCGATCAATCGATTGCACTCGTGCGGAGGAAGAGATGGCCGATCCGCTCAGCACCATAATGGAGTTCGTGGGGTATGGGTTCAAGATCATGAGCTTGCTGGACAACGCCAAACACAACGCGGAGGACTGCCGCACGATCAACGCCTTCCTGCTCAACCTCAGCGCCATCGCCAATCGCCTGCAGGGGCTGCCCAAGATCATGGTGGACGACTTGATGAGGGACACGGCGGATGGCCTACACAAGGCCCTCAAGCGCGCGTCCGAGTTTGTCGCCAAGTGCGAGCGCAAGGGGGTCCTGCGCCGTGCTTTTAACGCCAAAGACATCGCCGAGAAGCTGCGCGGGGTCTGCCTCGATGTGCTGCTCAACATGAACGCCGTGCAGCTCAACATGAACGCCATGCATCTTGCCAACGATGACTTGAACAGCTCGAAGTTGGCCGAGCTTAAGGAAATTGTGGCCAAGATTCTGCATATTGTTGCTACACAGCCCACTGTTCATCTGCAAGAAGAGGTATCGTTGCCTTACCTTGCCACACCACAACATCTTTATGTATGTATGTATGTCACACTAGGCCTAGCTAGTGCCTCACTGATTATGCAGGATGATACCAAAATCTTTGTTTTGTTGTTAAATACGTACAAAGCAGAGCTCTATATAACATACCACATTGTTTTATGTAAGCTTATCAGTTGTAATACTGTATATGAATTTGTTTAGTTTTCTTTTCCTATTTCAGGTGCAAAACTTGGTGAAGGACGACCAGATCAGTTCTCAAATTAAAAACAAAGGGGCGGCAAGGAGAACAGTTGTAGCTAGTTCTCAAAACAAAAACAACTCCCCTCCGCCGCCCCTCCCCTCGCGTCGCCTCGCCTGAGGCGACCCGGGGGCGAAACCCTAATCCCCTCCGCGCCTCCCCCTCCCTATCCCCTCCCTCTGCCGCCGCCTGAGGTGCTCGCCGGCCCGGCCGCACGACACCAATGAAGGTGGCGGCGGGGATCTGGTGGCTTCGCCTTCGCGGAGGGCCACGGCGTCCGGGGCGGCGGCTCCGATGGGCGGTGTCCGGCGTGGCCGGTGCGGCGGGCTGCGCCGGTAGGTGCTGGCGGGCTGCCTCCCTGGCCGTGCGGTCGGCGGGGGGGTGGCGGGCGATGGAGAGGCGGCGCCCCCGCGTGGGTCGTCCTGCGCTCCTGGAGAAGCTCCGTTCCTGCCCGTGATCTGCTCCGATCTGCGCCCTGCTCCAGCCCCTGGTGGCTTCGTCGCCGTCTTGGGGGATCTGGACGGACGGATCTGGTGGTTGGGCGTGATTCCGGGGGAAACCCCTGGCCGGCGCGGCGGCCTCACCAAAGGCGACGTCTTCGGCGCCGTGGTCCTTCCTGGAGGCTTTGGTGTGGTTCTCCCCTCCCACTTCTCCCTCGAGCACAGGTGAAGACCTGCCCTCCCCTTGCATGGTCGATGGCGGCATCCGGTGCCGTGATCCTTCTTGAAGGCGTCTTCCGGGGATTGCTCGTGTGGGGTGGAGCTGCTGGTGGCGTGGTGACGGTGTGAGGTAGCCTGTTCTTATCAGTGGCGGCTGCCGTGGTCTCGGTCCAATCCCTGACCACTGCTTTGGCTATGCCCCTTTTGGCCTTCTCCATGGATCTTCGCCTTCGTCCGATGACTTGCGGTTGTGAGCCGTTTCGCTTAGCACTAATGTACTTGCCGTGGTGGAGCGGTACTTCATCTCACTCATTGATGGCGGCGAGGATCGGCGGCATGGCGCTGTGGAGGTTCGCCGCCCGATGCGCGGAGATGGACTCGCGCAGGAGGAGGTTGCTGTCTGGCGTCATGGTGACGCCGATGGCTGAGTGGCCAGATAAGGTAGAAACCTCGATATGATCTGAAGATGGACCTGCGGAAGATGGTGGCGACGACACATGAGTGCGTCTGACCGGATTGTGCCCCAGACCCAGTATGTGGCTCGGCTGGGGATTCCGAATATGTTTCGGTTTCCGGCTTTTGATGTTAGGCTTAGGTGAGTGGTTCGGGTAGTGGCCTAGCTAGCACCCCTTCATCATTTTGGGTAGGAGTAGTGGCATGTGTTGCCAAGATGGTGGATTCAGACTTATTGTTGTAATACTTTGTAAGGTCCTCGAGAATAATCAATAATATGGCCGTATGCATCTCCCGGATGCAGAGGCCGGGGGTCATCCCTCTTTTCTAAAAAAAAAAAGGGAGGCAGAGAAAACAGGTGTTGCCAGGTAAGGTACCTGCAGAAGTATGCTCAATTAGCCTGCCACAGAGCTATCCAAATGTATATGTCCCTTTTATCTATCTTGGTGGATTAGTATGCTCGGTTACTTGGCGTGCACTGTGCATTATCCAAACATGCCTCTTTTGTCTATTTTATGAATTTTGTTGGTTATAAATGTCGATGAGTTAACCTCCTACCTTTACTTGTTGGTAAAGCATTTGATTTTGCTGCACGAAACTTGCAGGCCGGATGTTAAGATTCAGAATAACAAGAAACTAGGGCGTAGAAGGGTGGTCCCACATGCTTCCTTACCAGATGGTAACGTTGCATTTTCCATGTTACTCTGCATCATGCTGTTAAATAAGAATGGATGAAATCAAACTTAAAAAGTGTCTTTACAGTACCACCAGTACAGACATTACAGGTGTAATCTAAACTGTCACATGTATTTATTGTTCTTCTGGCAGGATTAGCTGAGTCCACTTCAGCGGCCAGTGTGGTTGGACAAGGCTCTAGTACTGTTATTATCAATAAGGTATTTCATATGCTTAAGTTTCATTTAAATCATTGTTATAGTTGGGCAACCCGATTTCATATAAAAGGATGCCTCGAGCTATAATAACTGATCTATACCAGTAATTAAGCTGAACTTCTATAACAGTAATTTCTTGTCAGGCAGAAAAGTTTTTTGTTTTTATGAGATGTTACATTGTGTCTTGATGATCTTCATTCTTTCCCCTTTTTTTTCTTTGATGAGAACTGGTGATCTTCATTTGTTATGTAGGCAAGTAGCTCTATCTCCAAGTCGGTGGACGAGGCACAGTCAGTGGGAGTTTCTGCAGCACCATTCCATCCGCAGAAAATAATCAGCATATCCAAGGAACCCGAAGAGACAGGCGGATATAAGGTACCTTTTGTTGCATCCAAACATGCATTCGAGAGAAATTGCAGTATACTGAAGTCGATAGTGAAATCTAAGTTGTTTGAAATAGCTGGACGCGACGCCAATTGTTATACATGGCACGTCAAGGTACCATTTGTGAGTTGATTATTTGTGGCTGTTGCTTGCAGATATACACCTGTTCCTCTGAGACTAGCAAGCTTCTTGAGGTCTACCCGCAGCGGCTTCTCTTCCCCTTGGAGCCAAAAAACAAGGAAACTATTGGATCTGGATGCCCAGTGACCCTAACCAACAGTACAAACGATTACGTTGGCATCTGGATTAAACCAATAAATGGGAAATTTAAGGAAACAGAGATAATGGAGCCCCATTCGACTTTGGTTGTGTATGCGACAATGAAGATGCATGCACAACCTCCCAAAGACAAGGTCGAGTTTGAGGTGCTCATGATTATCCTACGGTCGAAGCAAGACCACGGAAAATTGAAGTCATTCATTGTTGACAAGCTGAATATGGACAGTGGCTTTATGTTGCATGTTAAGAACCTTAAGGCAGAGGTGTATCGGGCAATGCTGACAGCTATCACTTGTGACCCAGCAAGCTGCCAGGTAATTATAATGTTGACATGCATGATTCAAGCTACCCATGCCCATATGTATCCTATTAAGACTTGGGATATATATTCCATGTTCCTTCCAAAATGCATGTGTTCCTGTCAAAATAGCACTCTTCAATCGATGGGCCTTAGATAATTTTTGTAACGTTTTGTAGAATGTAGTAGATTGATCATTTAATTTCCTGCAGTGGTTAATTATCTTAACTATTTGCATTATATTAACTGGTTTTACCAGATCATATCAAGACCAATAGAGGATACGACCTTGGTGACATCCATTGACGCGCACCCCACTAAGCCATGGTGAGTCATATTTATAGAATTATAGCCCATCCAGTGACGCAACTCTTTTATTATTTATTCCAAGACTTCCTCTTATTTGCACTATAATATGCATCACAGGATTGTGACGGGTCATGAGGGAGGGAGTTTTTCCATTTGGGACTACCAAAAGCAGGTATCATCACTGCTACTTTATAGCCAGCATGTGGTTGCTAATGCAGTGAAAATTAAGTTGCTGAAACTTAATCTGTTGATTGTGTGGCAGGAAACTGTGATGAAGTTGCAGGTCAATGAGGTGCCAGACAAGGGTGCATGGCAGCGACCTGCCTTGTTTCAATACATAAAAGAGACGTCTGTCCAACATTCGGTTTTTTTAGTCAAATTCACCGCTGAAGGGAAACGGTTGGTAGTGGGGGATGGTCGCGGATACATCTATGTTTATGATTCCACCGACACTAAGCTGCATGAGGTCGAGAAATTCAGAGCTTATGATAAGAAATCTGTGAACTCTCTGGCTGCTCACCCAACAAAGCCATACCTTCTTCTTTCATCGTCTGCTTTTAGTAGAAATATCAAGCTTTGGGACTTGAGCGAGAACTGGAAATTTCAAAATTTCTACGTGAAACCTGAGAATACATATTACGATGGTGTGCGCAGTGTCAAGTTTAATCCAAGGGACACCAACACTTTTGCTTGTCTTACCGTTGAGGACAGAGTAAAGGTTTGTTATAGCCTCTTCCTTTCCTAAGTCTTCATGCAGTGTGCGTGTGGTAGTTAGTGAATAATCGACTAATTCAGTTATTTCGGTTGTTATTTGTATATTTAATGTTAAAAGATGTCTTCTCTGCATGAGATTTATAGGTCTGGAACATCAAAACTTCCATTCTTAAAGCCACATTGAAGGGGCCATTCGTCATGGCCGATTATTTCTTCACTAGCGGTCATCAGCACTTGATGGTTACTTTGAAATTTGACTCACACAACTCTGAGGTGAAGAATATTAAGCATTAATGATTGTTTTCATAACAGGATTGATAATAGTTGTTTGCATATATAAGCCTCATAATTTGTGTGAAAATCAGATATGGGATTTGAAGACACGAAAAGTTGTTCACACTCTTAGCGTGAGTGGGCACAAAACGACCTGGGTTGCTTGCCACCCAAAGCTTCCAATACTGGTTACAATGTTAGATGACGGGACTGTATGTTTGTGGGATGCCAGTACCTACAGGTAACTATAATGCTTCTGCTCAAAATCCTAGCTCTGAACATCTCTTCTTTTAAGATATGCATGTATTCCATGATTCAAACATACTATTTTTTGACCAACGATCTGTTTTAAATATCGAAGACTGCATTCATGTTATGATAACCTATAAAGATTACCCAAACCACCATGACTACAATGGGGTCATCTCATATCTTGGCACAACTAGCTGTTCCGGTGGGTTGGTACCTGTAGTTGGTCCACAAGCAGTGTTTTTTAATTAAAAAAATAGCATTGTCTGCATTACTTGATTTCTGGTTTGTTCTTGGGGTTGCATGTAAAGTTTGGCATTGCATAATTTAATCCAGTGACATGTAAGGTTTTTTATTTGTTCCTGAAAGCAACACATATAACTAACGCTGGTCTCCTAATTATATAGGCTTGAGAAAATGGTTCACAATACCAACAGAGAGTGTCGTGATTTGGTATTTGTCCGAGACACAAATGGCCTACCCAGGTACTTCTCAAGTTCTTTTTTTTTGTATTAGCATTTTCATTTATCTACTAAAATACATGTTGAGTGTGACTTCTCTATAATAACTAAAGGATATCCCGCAAATTGCTCCGGGATTTGTAGAAAGTACAGATTGACCAAAGAATGAGAAAAAAAAGGAAGCAATTGATGCTAGCACTATTATTTTCAGAAATTTTGTAAAGTAAGCTCTATGATGAAACGTTGAATGTAAATGGTGGATGCTTGAATGTTTCAAATGCTATTGCCACCTATAGAAATGGACGGAGTATTATACATGAAAACTTGGACAATCCGAAACATTGTGAGTGTGCAAATAAAGACAGCAAACTTACAAATGCTTGTATATTTTGTTCTGAAGTTATTACTAGTCTAGCAAAAACAATTATCCAATTTTGAGTCTAACGTGAGAGGCACAAAATGGTTTTTCATAAACTATAATGCTCAACTCAACTGTTCTTGCTCGGTTTGTTTTTTCTCTGTTATTATATAGTTATGATTCTTTCCAATTTCACAAGGCTAACCTCTGATTATCTAATCTAATTACATAGGCTCGCTATGGCATTTAAGACAATGATAGCAATCGTGGAAGTTAATTTGCCAGTTGCGAATACAAGCAATGCAAGTGGACGAATACAAGCAAGGCAACGGAGGCCATCACGGAGATTGGGATAATGTATTCATGTATTTGCGGAATTGATATTTCCTCTTGTAATTAATCTTGTAAAAGTACTGTTGTGGATAAGAATTCTTTTGTGAGCATTGTGATATTTTTATTATAATTTTCAGAATTTTATTCTATTTGTAATGAATTTTCTCATTTGAACTCAAGTTTGAATAATTCAAACCTTAATTTTGAATTCAAATATATTTGTATGGTTCATGTTTGTTTTAGAACCATCTATCTTGTGGAAGTGTTTATGAGTCAAAGACTCACTTGTGTTATTGTTGAAATTTGAAAGCCCAAATTTTGGATTTGAACAAAGACCATGTTGAAATTTACTATAAAACGTATGGTGACCTAGCTCTAACTCGTCACCAAATTCAAATCTCAATCACTTTGTTATCTCAAAACAAAGTTTGAAATTTCCCCACATTTTCAAATGCACGCTATGCAAATGTACATATCCTAAATCTACCCCTTTCGTGTCCTACTTTGGGATGTTACACTTGCGTACGTCTTCGTGGTGTGCTTGGAAATGGCATCCTCCGTTGGCCAGTGTTGTGGCTCATCAGTGTCGGAGGCGGTGTTAGAGAAGCTAGAGGTGGAGGGGTTGTTGCTCCCTGTAGAAAGATGAGGCTGAAGCGTATGCAATGAGCAGGGACGCATGCGTGTTGATATAGGCGAGATGCTGCGAGATATACAGGTTGTTGGGCTGTGGATTGATCTTCAAGACATAGTCTAGATAAGATTGCAATCTCAACAGCCCAATCCATTGTTACAACAACTACACGCACGCACGCCAACAACTACATATACGGTTTATAGTTATACCGTATGTACAATGTTTAACACTCCCCTCCGTCCGTTGCATGTGGAGGGTGTTCGGGACAGAGGTAACGCCACTCCCGACGAGAGATGAGCGAGTGATGGTCGTGGCCTTCGTCGAGCGCCTTCCCCTGCCTACCGTTTCCTTTGCTCTAGCTATGTTTTCTGGACTCTGAATATTTGGCTGTACCTTGAGGTTTCATGCATCAGATCAACTTGGGGCCTGGCAGACAATCTTACTCTCGACCACAGGATCGACGAAAATGGTGCCTCCTCACGTTAATGGCTGCTATCTATCCTCTCTTTCTTTTTAACATGGTGAATGCACACTAGACTGTGTGATCGTACTCGGCACCGAATCCACAGCCTTCACTCCAGCTGTGCGACGGGATGGCGCCGGGGCTACGGGCAACCTCCGCTCGCCGCCACACCGGCATCTCTCTCTCTCTCCCTCCATCTCTCTCTCTCTCTCTCTCTCTGTTATTTCTCGCCACCGAATGCAATCATTGTTGTGCACGCTATCCTGGTTTGTTATTCCTTAAAATAAATAAACCTTGGAGGCTTGGATATTGCCAAGGAGCACTTGCGGCTCTTGTGCTCTGTTTCTAAGTGCACACTGATGGTCTATGTATATGTATGTAGTTGAGTTGTGAAGCTTACATGCCGGAGACCCCTTGATGATGGATGCCGTCAATTCATTCTGTCGCAACCTCTGCTTTTGCTCTGTTTTCTCAACTTGGTTTTACCTGTAGTTAGCCTCCTCTGCTTTGCTCTGCTTTCTCAAATCTGAATATTTGCAAGTCCCTTCCTCTGCTTTTGCTCTGTTTTATGAGCTCTGAATATTTGGTTGTAGCTTCAGGCCGGTTTCAGGCGTCAAGTCGACTCCACTCGACTCGGGGGCAGACAGACAATCTTGCTCTTTCCTGCCACGGCCTCCTCACGCTAATGGCGGCTGCTATCTATCCTCTATTTCTTTTTAACATGGAGGAAGATAATACACACTAGGCTATATGATACTCGATGTTGAAGGCTGAAGGCTGAACTCGATTAAGTAATCTAAAAACGAGAGAAATGATCAGTTGTTCTGAGAGTAGTTTTCTCTGGATGCCACCTTCAGGTTTCAAAAAAAAAAAACTGTGCTAGCTTTACAATTGGATCTGATCAGCAAGGTCGTATTTGCCCGTAAGGGTTTCTCTCAACTCAAATGCAGGTGTATCAATTTCAGCAACACCGTGCATCTCAAATAGTACAACTGTTATTACAGAAAGTGCATGCCGCCTTATGGCCATTTGATGATCTCATCTCCCCCAGTGTCACGCGTTCCCTATAGCAGGAGTAAGGATAAACATTCAAGCAGGAAAAAGGCACTACAAAATTGAATTCAAGATGCTTCTGAAATCATTCTACTCAACATAAGTAACAACACCGTGCGTAATATAATGGTTCATTAATTCATAGTACCTTGGGAACTTTAGGCAATCTCTTCCTCGCTGATTCATCCACTGCTCTTCATAGCTTTCTTCACTTCACCCTGTACAACTGGGAGCAAACAACAGCGATAGCTTGGGTAACCACTGCAGAATCCACGCGAAGAAGCAGTGCCCTTTCCGTCAGTAGCATGATCACTATGCAGCAGTAGCACAGGAGCAGTGCCCGAGCGGCGCTGAGGTTGAACGTCTGAGTGCACCTACCGCGTACAAGCTGCACGGCCAGTGGCATCGGGACCTCCTGGGTCGCCTCGCCCGTTTGAGCAGCCAGTAGCATCAAAGTGCCCTCCTTGGTGCATCAAGGGTTTGGAAAGGCTGAAGAAAATATTCTGCAATTGTTTGGACTGCAGGTAATCAAGTTTCTCCACCCACGCCTGCCAATGTAAACAGTTAGTCGTGCCACGGGAGATCCATTTCCCTTCCCTTTTGCGTGCACCCAACAGACTGCAAAGTCACAGGACCAAATTAAAACTCACCGGAATATGATGGCGTTGGACTCGGCTGCCTTTTTCCAGTCGACATAAACCGGCAGCGTCAGGGGGTAATCGCTGTTCAGGGAGAATGTCAGGAAGAGATCCTACGCGGAGAGCTCTTGGAACTGAGCGTTGCACAGGAGGCTTATGAAGGCGCGCTAGAAATGAGTTGCAAACGCAAGCCTTGTTTTCATCATCCAACAACAGTAGTATCAATTTAATTTAGTTGGGCAAGTATAACCAAAGCAAAATTGAGTGTGTTGGGCGTCACCTGGTGGGAGAAACAGCAGCAGGATCCGGGGATAAGCTGAGCAGAGTCTTCCAGTCCAGGCAACAACAGACCCAGCATTCTCCATGAACTTCCAATCTTTTCAGTGTTTCATGTGGCATAATGAATTAATAATCAGGATGATGGCACATAAATCCAAATCAAGATCACGAAGAACACATACGAGCACTGAACAAAACAGCAAAAAGGAGTTTGGATGTGTACATACTGTTGGATAATGAGCAACTAACTTTACTGAGGACCAAAGGCCAATACATATACATGTGTGGAAAAGTGCAGAAAGCCCCTTATACAATGGGGATAAAGCGAAAAGAGACTATACACATCTAACACCCCCCCTTAAACTCATGGTGGATCAACAACACTGAGTTTGGAGAGGAAAAAGGCATGCTGCGCTCGAGTCTGTGCCTTCGTGAAGAAGTCAGCCAACTGTAACTCAGAGGGCACATAGTGAAGAGCGAGAGTCTGATCCTGCACAGCAGCACGCACAAAGTGGGCATCCACACCGATGTGCTTGGTGAGCTCATGCTTCAC